GGCGGCGGGGGCGGGGGGCGGCCACTGCACTCCAGGCTGGGCGACAGAGTGAGATTCCAACTCAAAAAAAAAAAAAATTATTAAAAGAACCAGGAATAGTTTCTAGAAATGCTGGATTCTTCAATATTTGTGCTGCAGATGGTTCATACCTGAGGCACAGATATCAGATCATGTGAACCCAGAGACAGGTTAGCTTCTACGATAGACTCCAGTCACAGGAGTAAAGTCAGACAGACAGACAACCAGTGAGTGGTCCGTCAGTATAAGCTTCTCCAAAGGCAACAGTGATAGTCCATTTATTCTTCAAATCAGAACAAAATTTACTATTTAGGAGGCCAGCAATAGCAAGACGTCCATAAGATACACTTCCTTTCCCCCTCTGGATGATCTTTGTACTTCTTGTTTGTCTGTCTTCACTCTGGAATTATCTATGAATACGCCTCTGGGGCATGCATTTTATCATCATCATAGGGTTACTCAGTCCCAGAAAGAATGTCTCTATAGGAATTCGAGAAGCTGGCAAGTTACAGAGAGATATCATTTCTGAAGAGCACTGTTGACAGATTTCTTTTTTTTTTTTTTTAAAGCAGAATTTATTGAGAGGACAGAAAAGCTCCCACAGTGGGAGAGGACCCAAGGGGGTTGCCTGACAGATTTCTTAATCCACTAGACTTCAGGATAACCAGCTGATTGTTTCTGGGGAGGGCTCTCTCTTTAGCTTGCAGATGGCTACTTTTCCTCTCATCCTCACATAGCATAGAAAGAGAGTAAACTCTCTGGTGTCTCTTTCTATAAGAATACTAATACTATAAGAATGACTAATTGTGTCATCTCAGGGCCCCACCATTATGCCCTCATTTAACCAGATTCCTTCCATAAAGGCCTGTCTCCAAATATAGTCACGTTGGGGATTAGGGCTTCGACGGATAGAATTTGAAAGGAACACGATTCCGTTTATAGCAAACAAGGACCTGGATTAAAAAATATGATGAATTATTTTGGATTTGTTCAGTGTGTTTGGAGACCTGGATGGAGCATGGAAAAGATATGACTGATGATAGATTTACGGTCAACTAACATAAGCCCAGGGCTGAGGCCATGGGTCTGGATGCCTTCTCTGAGGAAGAAGCAGCGATCAGTATAGAGAATTAAGCGGGCAAGAGCCAAACCATGTGCAAACTCTCACAGATGGTGAAGAGAGAAAAAAATCAGCACATAAAACAAGCACATTGGCAGACAAGAAGAGAGGCAGGAAAATGAAGCAATGTCACAGAAGATAAGGAAGAAATGAGGGTTGTGGAGACAGTGCTAAATGCAGTTAGAAGGGTCTTGGAAAAGGCCATTGTCAAAAGGCCCTTGACTTGTAAATGAGGAAATCATTATTGACTTTTGAGGAAGCAATCTCAGTGAGGTGACTGGGAAGAGATTCAGGCGAAGAGGTTAAGGAAAAGCAGGATGGGGGTGACATGAAAGAGATGTCTGGAGTATAATGGGAAGTTGGAGTCCAAAGGTAGTGAATGCAATCAGACCACTTTGCCCAGAGCAAATTGAATTTAGCCCTGCTCAGATAACTAGTCCAATCAGCTGACCCTGTTCATTCTCAACAAAAAGTCATCATGCATCAACTCTGGGAGCAGGAGAAGAAGTGGATGTCTTTTCACTCTTATTAAAGTTAGAAAAAGTTGGAGAGTCAATGAGATTTTTCATTAAAAACCCCCCTCACCTTTTTTTTAAAAAATAGCACCCAATGCAATAATGATACTGCCAATTACCAAATGTGTTAGCTTAACTTCATTATAAGCTGTGTTTTATTACATAAATAGACTCTACGCATAGAGTGAGTGTTTCGTAAGTAGCAGAGTCTGATTCAGCTAGACTGTGGCCAATTCTGGGCAGTAACATATTTTAACAGCTTTCCAGTTGATTTTACGGTGCATCCAGGATCAAGATCCATTGAATTAGAGATCTGTTGTTTTGTGGAGCTGATTTTGTCGAAGAGCCCTGGTTCTGGGGTGGGAAAAGAATTATGAGTGTCCTCTGAGTTTGGAGTGCTCTCTGTTCCCTGCCCTAACCTTTGTCTGACCTCTACTCGTGTTCTACCCAAATCTAGCTTGATAAAAATATTATGAATAATGTTAACCTCACAGTAAAGACTTTTTTAATCCAATGCAAATATAATTTTACAGATGGAAAATGATTGTGTCTTTGGTTATCTGCTTCCAAATTAGAATATATCTTTAATTTTTGATTAATCCCTTTTCTTGTATAATACTGGTTTTGACCTGTCCTTGAATTCTAGTTATTCCAGGTTGCTTTAATGTAAAGGAAAGGAAAATTTGATGCCTCTAATTTTACCAAGTAACTCTATTTGGAGCAAAATGGAATATCTGTCTTCAATAGATCCTGTACGTTTCTAGCTACATTCTGGAGGTTTGATAGAAATTCATGCATTATAGTCCCTACCCTGACATTGAAGAGAAAATATATACAAGAAAAATACATGGAATAGGAAGGCAAAATTTGTACCAAGACTTATTTCATAACATTTGAATATACACATACTTTTTGAGTTGGGGTCTCATTCTGTCACCCAAGCTGTAATGCAGTGGCACAGTCACGGCTCACTGAAGCCTTGACCTCCTAGATTCAGGCAATCCTTCCACCTCAGCCTCTTCAGTAGCTGGGACTATAGGCACACACCACCATACCAAGCTAATTTTCTTTCTTTCTTTCTTGTAGAGAGGAGGTCTCTCACTATATTGCCTAGGCTGGGACATTGGAATATTGAAGTTACCTGTTGGTATGATTTTAAATAAGAGATAACCTCAAAAGTCTGAAAAGGACATGCAACTAATTTCACTACCTGAAAATCACTGATGAAAAAGAGACAGATACTAAAATGTACTGAAAACAAGCTTTACACCTGTCAAGTTCCATCACTTTTTAAAAACCCTGGGAAGGCACAAAACACAACTAACAAAGCTCGCCATTACTTTATAATCCTTGGACTTGGGAGATACAGAAAAGATAATTTGGCCAGGGAAGTAAGAAACAAGGCAACAGAATGTGGAAGGAAATGATTGTAGATGAATGACTGGCATTTAGTAGACACCCAGTAAATATTGGTTGAGTAGATGAATGAAATGAAAGAGAAACTTACTGGAAAAAGTTTGGGCTGAAGCAAAGACTTACGTCTGAAAATTGCCTGTTGCCATATTGAATCAAGCGTGAAATTATCGGTGTGCTTATTTTAGCCAGGGCATATTTTCACCACTGATAATACTGACTACCAAATGTGGAAAAAAGGAAAGAAAGCTTATCATAAAAAGCTACGAGAGTGCTTTGTCCTGCATGCTTTTTTCACCATACTCCATGGTAGCTCATACATGACCTAAAATGCTAAAAGAAGTATGGCCTTTCAAAACTCATCTAAATTTTGTTCGGACCGCAAAGGATTTCTTGGTTGTCAGAAAATTAACCTACTTAGGCTAATTTAGGAAATCTTTCTGTTGTCTCTCACTTGACTGGCTCTGATCCTTCACTTCCATCCCAATCAATTCTGTTTGTGAAATGGGTTGAAAGCCACCTACTGCCTTTGATTAAATGTTGCTTGGAGATTGTACTACAGATTCTTCTTTTTATACACCCAGTGGTCAGACTCTAACTGTAGGGTTTGGAAGTTTTTCTGATAATTTTATAAACAGCATCATTGGCATTTTATTTCCATAGCATAAACTCACCTATTGAAAGCGTACAGCTCAGTTAATTTTAGTGCCTTTAGATGGTTGTGTAAGCTGTTTCATCCATTTTGGCTGTCCTCAGCCCCAGGCAACTCCTGATCTGCTTTCTGCAGTTATAGTTTTCTGTAGCCTTTTGTAGAAACTTCATCTGAATAGAAAAAGAATAACTGGTATTTCTTTTTAATTTAGAAACTAAGCATATCTTATTAAAATCGGCAAAGACAAACTAAATTAGGTGGATCTTATATTTCACTATAAACAGCAGCAGAATAAATTAGAATTTTTTAAATCAGATGCTAAGACTTTATGGTATGCCTCATTTGCTTTGTGGAATTGCAGTTTATTTTCTTTGCATTAGGTATCTTGTCTAGTTTTGAGCTGTGTTACATATTCCTTCCTCAAGAAAAATGGATTAATATTCTTTCCATCTTCAGGCTTTATTCTGCAGCCTATGTTATTACGATTTTTTCCCCAGAATTACTAGTATTTATGTGTGTGTATGTGAAGGGACAAAGATGCTTAATGAGCTTTCAAACATTTGTGGATAGATGAAAGAATGGAAGATGGCTTGACGACTTCCATGTTGCCAGTCTCAAGAAAATTGTTATCGTCAGTTCTCAGGATGTAAATGATAAGTTGTATGTATTCAGAACAGAATTTCACCTGTATGTTTTTATTTCACAGAAGAAACGTGAAACATGTTCTAGCAAGGAACAAAGCATTCCAGTGGATGAAGTCCTATGTTTTACCAGAGTTTCCCTATGATGTCAAATGCATGTTAGCACAGCAGAAATGCCCTGATCACAGCATGAGAATAAGGATGATTGAGTTTCTCCAGGCTGACATGACTAAGTATCTGGAAGGTTCACTGTGAGTAGTAACAGGGCAGACTTGCGCTTTTAGGGGAGTGGGGGTGGGGATGGGAGGGGGTCTGTTCTCGCAGTACCGTAGAAGTCACTGGAAATCAACTCTCTTCAGATTGTGGGCCACATGGTAGTGATACGTCCGACGTTGCCCAATATTTGAATGTCTATTTTGTTATCTAGAAGGCCTTGGAGAAAAATGAGGGTAATGTAGACACATCCTAGAAGAGGAAGGAACGTGGGCTGCTTGAAGTGAAATGTGTCCTCCTTGTTGTGGTGAACAGGTACCCCTCCACCCAGCAGTACAACGACGTGGTCAATGCCCTGCTGCGGGCCCACCCTTTCCTGGACGAGGACGGCTGTGGCTTTGTGAGTGGCTATGTGGCACCATTCTGTTCCTATCAGCCCATCTTAAAATAGTAGCCTCGGACTGCCCAGTAGTTCTGTGCTCCATTTCTCAGTCTGGCTCACTCGCGCGTGCTCTCTCTCTCTCTGTATCTAGGTCTGTCTATTTCTCTTTGTCTGTTTCTCTGACTCTTTGTCTCTGGTCTCTGATTTTTAATTTGGTTCTCTCTGTGTCTTTCTCTGTCAGTCCCTGTTTCTTAGCTTTGTGCTCTTTGTCGCTATCTCTTTTTTTTGATAACTACTCTGTCTCTCTCTCTGCGCTGTGTCTCTTTGTCTTTTTCTGTTTCTCTCTGTCATCGTCTTTCTGTCCTTCTCACAAAGCTGCTTGGAAGATCAGGTATAATGAAGGGTCTTTAGGAAATGTGATACCTAGGAGGGGAAGGATGTGACCACACCTGCATCCGAGCTGTCATTCGTCGAGTGTTTCCTGCCTTCCATTTAGACCCAGTGGAGCAATTGCCTGGCCTTGAGGTCCTGGCTTCCAGTGTCACATGGTGTTCTCACATCTCTGGTGTCCTGATGAAAACAGACCCTAAGGATGCTTTGGGCAGCAGTTCTAAACTCTCGCCACACATTAGGATTTCTAGAAATTCTAATTTAATTGATTTGAGGATGAGGTCCTAGCACTTGGACTTTTTAAAGTTCCCAAAATGAGCCACGGTTGAGAACCATATCTCTAGAGGTTTCAACACAAGCTTTGCTGTCTGGATCTGCCTGTCTGTTGAACTTAAAAGACTGGTGTCTTGACGGGGCTCGGTAGCTCAGCCTGTCATCCCAGCACTTTGGGAGGCTGAGGTGAGTGGATTGCCTGAGCCCGCGGGTTCGAGACCTGCCTGGGCAACTTGGCGAGACCTTGTCTCTACAATAAATAAAAAAATTAGTTGGATGTGGTAGTGCGTGCCTGTAATTCCAGCTACTTGGAAGGTTGAGGCAGAAGGATCACCGAAGCCCAGCAGGTCGACGCTGCAGTGGCCGGAAGCGGCCACTGCACTCCAGCCTGGGTGATGGAGCGAGACTCCAACTCAAAAAAAAAGACTGGTATCTTAATTTCACAACAGTGTGAATATATGTAACGCTGTTGAACTGTACACTTAAAAATAGTTAAGATGGTAATAAAAGTTGAGTGACACTAGAACTGTATAATTGAAGGAACAATTATGGGGAACTGCAGCCATGTGGACATAATGGTATACTGTCGATTCTTCCCTGGACCTCTACATGCCAGATGCATACACATTGGTGGTCAGATCTAAATACGACAGACATCTGTTTGTATCTTACCATCTAGATATCCGTGAGAAAACTTTTTGCTGTGCTTTTTTAAAGATCTAGAATTTAGGCAGTTTGTTCTAATTTGAACAACAGAATAAATGTTAATATCTATGAATGCAAAAACATTTAAGGCATTGGTTCTCTCTCTCTCCATTCCTTCTTTTTTTCCATCCTTTTTGTATTTTCAAGGAAAGTTTCATTAGATATCGATAGAATTTACAGAATGAATAAGAGCCTTAAAGATTCTTTTTTACCACTCAGACTCAGGAAAGGTGTTGTATCCCATGTCTGGAAATAGTAATTACTGAAGCCAAGACTAGAATTCAGGTATTCATGCTTGTATGGTTTTTAAAATATGCTGTTGCATATAAAGTACATCACATAATGAACCAAATTTTCTCTGAAACAAAACAAAGCAACCTGGAATCCTAACATTGACAATCATGTCAGGATGGTTGACAAAACTGATTCTCGGAATATCTTGAGATATTAAATCTCAAGATATATTCGCCTATCCAGCCACCTGATTTTCCTCCCCAGAAGTAACCAATGTTGAGTCCTTCCAGAGAACCTTTGTAGTATATACAAGCAAATACATATCTGTCTAATTCCATTTTGACTATTAGTTTCATGGTTATCAGAGTGAGGCACATACACAGTCATAAGGCTTTCTATGCTCTTGTGCGCATTTGACCCACGTCTGTTCCCAGTGACATTAACTAAAGATGGTTAGCTGATAAAAAGACTTCAAAATTGCTTGGTAGGTTCTGACCCAAGCTTGCAACCATAGACTTGAAGGGGAAACTCTGATACATGGATAGATGTTCACCCCAGCTCTCCCTGCATGCATAGGTGAGGTTGTGTTTCTAAGGTGTCAATGGAAAATGTACAAAACGTCAGAGTATTCATGTGTGTGCGTGTACATCAGAGAAACAGAGAACACTCGCACACATTTGATTATTTTGAGGTCTGATTTTATTTTCAATTCTTTTATCTTGAAAATTTCAAATCTGCGCAAAAGCTGAAAAAATGTGTAGTGATAGTGACATACCCTTCATCCACATCAGGTATCACATACTTGGTCTCTGCAGTATTGACATTTGGGGCTGAATAATTCTTTCTGGGGTGGTGTCCAATGCGTGGCAGAGATCTTAGCAGCGTCCCTGGCGCCCACTAGGTGTGAGTACCACCCCTCCGCCCCCATCATAACATCCAAACCTTTCCCCAAAGATCACCTGATGTCTCCTGGGACGGGGAGGGGCACCATCACATGGCGGATTGAGAATCACTGATCTGGGTCCACTAGGGATTGACATTTTGCCACATTTATTTTTCTCCTCTCATATTTTTTTGTTTGTTCTGACTGAGCACTTGAAAGAAATGGCAAATGTCATCCCTAAATACCTCTGCATGTATCTTACAAGATTAAGAACAATCTCCTAGAGAAACAAGATACCATTTCATACCTATGAAAATGAACCACCCGCCGGGCTTGGTGGCTCAGCCTGTAATCCCAGCACTTTGGGAGGCCGAGGCGAGTGGATTACCTGAGCCCGCAGGTTCGAAACTCGCCCAGGCAACTTGGTGAGACCTCATCTCTACAATAAAATCAAAAAATTAGCCGGGCGTGGTAGTGCGTGCCTGTAGTTCCAGTTACTTGGAAGGCGGAGGCGGAAGGATCACCAGAGCCCAGCAGGTCGAGGCTACGGTGGCTGGGAGTGGCCACTGCACTCCAGTCTGGGCGACAGAGTGAGGCTCCAACTCAAAAAAAAAGAAAGAAAGAAAGAAAGCAAATGAACAATCATTGCATAATGCACGGTCCATTTTCCATGTCTCCAATTCAAAAATGTTTTTAAAATTGATTTTTTGCTGTTACATCTAATTGAGTATCATGCAGTACCTCTTTAATTTCTTTTTGTGGAGACGGTCTCTCCCTGTCCTTTTTTGTTTTTCCCGATATTTGCTTTTTTGGACAAATCTAGTCCAGATGCCACGTAAGATGGTCCACATTCTGTGTTTCTCTGAATGGGAAGGTCTGCTGGCAATGCTGTGGACGGCTCCAGTGTCACCTCAGGGGGTCCATAATTTCAGGACTATTTTCTATTTCGGAGAGGTTGGGGGATAGCTGTATTCATGGAGAACTTTCCATACCCCATAGCTGGAAACATATGGAGGAGAGGGATGATTATTCTACATCACAAATATTTGCTGAGTCTGTCTTCTTGGGCATCTGTGTAACTCATAGTTCCAGGTACATAGCAGATACTCAGTGAATACTCGTTGATTGAATATTCATGTGGAAGATTGCATTTGATTTGTCCTTTTTCTGTTCCTCTCAGATAGTTAATAAGGAGAGACGAGAGAAGCCTGGAAGAAGAAATTGGCAATTTCAAAATGTCCTTGCAGTTGATTGCTATAATACCTCCCGCCAGGTTCAGCCAGTTTGGAAACCCCTCAACTCTGTAGGAGACATGAGGGAAAAAATGTATTGGCACTAGTTCATATTTCAGGGATAAGAAAAATACAAGCCACCCATGTTTCCTGTGCTGTTATAACACAGCAACAGCAGAGTACAGGCCCACAAGCCCGTGGGAGGTGATGCAGTGTCTCTGACTCATGCATGCCTGGGAGCTTAATCAGCGCTCAAGCCAACCCCCAACCCTCAGGCCATGCCTTCCTCACCAAGGCTCTTGGAAAATTTTTATGAACAGCACTTTAGCTAACAAATATCTTCCTCGAGTAGCTATTCAATTTGAGTCTTCCAGAAGCTTCAGTACAGTTGGCAGGACAGATCTTACTGTTCCATTGTTATAGCTGAAGAAACCAAGGCCAAGAGGGATTGCTTGTTAAAGGTCACTTGGCTAATTAGAGCTAATAAGAGCTCAGGCTAGTACTTAAACCCGATCTTCCCAACTATGGTGCTTTCCGAAGGGCAGGGAACACTCTTCTTGGGACTTCCAAGTGATATAACCAGGAATAGCAAAATCCAAATGCCAGACACTTTGGCTGATGTTATTGTGGTAGCTTTTCCGTTTCCCCACGAGGAAAAGGAGCTCAGAAACCATTCCCAAAGCCATTCGGTGACTCGCCACCCTCTCTGTGGCCAGCGCTGAGAAACACAGGCCTATCTGACCGCAAAAGGTTTTTTTCCTTCCTCGCACCCTGTTGGGGTCTATTCCAGCACTGCAGGAGAGAGAAGCTGATGAGAAGCAGCCCCAGGCGCAGGCTTCAAGCAGGGTTGGGCCCCTACTCACACAGTCAGCTCCTACTCAGCAAGGCCAAGACTCAGAGTCTTGCTTCTAATCTATTTGACACATGGCCCCAAGCATTTATACAGGCAGTGCCAAAAATACGTATACACACTTTAAGTGATGTGATCTATGTCTTTTTGAAGCTGAATTAAATGACAGTAGCAACGTACAGTTTGAAGTTCGTTCAACTATGCTTCCGCCATTTTCTTGGACGGCCCCCTGCCCATCGCAGGATGATGCCAGCATTCATACGATGGACGCCATCTTTTGAGTGAATGTCATACTTAAAATGTGTGTACATTTTTTGGGCACTTCCCATAGTTTCCAATAGGCACCAAGTGCAGTGCTGGGTTCGGTGGGCCTGTCCTTGTGTACTTACAGCCCAGAGAAAGAAAGGAAGGAAAGAAGCGAAGGGAGGGAGGAAAAAAAGCAGGAAGGAGGGAGCAGATAAAGGAGTACAGGAAAGGAAAAGTTTAAAAAGAAAGGAAAAGAAACAAACAGGAAAAGTATGACGTAGATGAGGCCAAATGACCAGAGTGATAAGTGTGACGAGGCGAGGGGAGAACGGATAACCAAGGGACAACACTGTGGGGTTGGCCAAGGGGCTCCCATGAGGCAGCGCTGAGCTGAGATCCGGAGGCAAAGCAAGGGTTAGTCACCAGTCAGGTGGAGGAGGAGGGGTAGAGCTTTTCAGGCCCAAACTGAAGGTCCAGCAGAGGAAAGGAGAGCTGGCTTGTTGAAGAGGAAGCCCAGGTATGATCTCTAGCCGTTTTCTGTGTCTCTGATCTCCTAAATACTACCCATGCCAGAGAGATTCTTCCAGAACTTAAATCTGAACATCCACTCTCCATATGCAACGTGGCCTAGGAGAACTTCTTCACCTGGCTCTGCAGATGAATCATGCATAAAGCAGGCCAGCCACAGAGGCTCATGCCTGTAGTCCCAGCCTTTGGGAGGCTGAGGTGAGAGGATCACTTAAGGGTTTACGTTCAAGACCAGCCTGGGGCAGCATAGTAAGACCCCTATTTCTAAAAAAAAAAAAAAATTTTTCTTTTAATTATCCAGGTATGGTGACACATGCCTGTAGTTCTAGTTACTTGAGAGGTGTGTCAGGAGGATCACTTAACACAAGAGTTCAAGGCTGCTGTGATCTATGACTGCACCACTGCACTCCAGACTGGGTGACAGAGTGAAACCCTGTCTTTATTTAAAAAAAAAAAAAAAAAGTGACATCACCTGGGAACTTGTAAAGTGCAAATTCTCCTTCTGAGTTTCCAATATTCACTCAGAAGCAGGTAGAGGAATGAAAAATCACTCATGTGCACAGGTCGAGGGGTGGAGGGTACACTTAAAGCCCAGACTTCTCCGCTATACAATGTACCCATGTAACCCAAAACTATGTACTTCCTAAAGTCATTGAAATAAAAAATAAATATATATCTACATGGTTATCTATCTTATCTATCTGTCTGTCTGTCTGTCTATACAGATGATCAGACCTACGCCTGACTTAATGCCTCAGAGACTTAGAGGATGGGCCCAGCAACCTATACTCCCTCTAACAGGTCCTCCAGGAATTGTGATTTGGGTTACATTTTAGAACCATTGCTTTAGAGGAAGGATCGAGGGCAAAAAGTTCCCTGTGAGATTCTGACGCGGCATGTCCGTCCATAGAGAGGGTTTTGAGAAGATCTGCTTCAGGATGACGCTGAAGCTCCCTTGTGGGATTACCTGGTCCGTGGGGACTGGGCTGGCTTCTGTCTCTCACCCTATTTCCCACCCCTTCCTCTGTCATTCCTGCATCCTGAGTTCTGTGCTCCAGCCATGCTCAACCGTCGGCAGTTCTCAAAAGGGCACCAGCTCTTTCTCCGCTATTGCACATGTGGCTTCATCCCAGAACATCTGTCCTCCCACTCAGCTGGCATTCCCCAGTGCTATCGCCATCCACTTAAATAGTTACCTGGCCCTAAGACCTCGGTTTAGATGCACTTCTCACAGGGAGGCTTCTCTGATCTCCTAATATCATGGAAGTGAATGCTGTCTCTTCTCCTATTCTAACACTTTTCTCTCTATAGTGAAATTGCTCATCTCTATGTTGGACTGAAAGTGGGTCCACTTACACCCCTCTCCCTCCCAGAGTAGGAACTTGGTCTTTGTGTCAGAAACAGTAGATGCACCACAAATACAGAGAATGCCAGTAGTATTCACCAAAATGAATTTCAAGAGATGATAGATAAAATTTTTAAAGAAAATGCATCAATCTGTAAGCCAGTATCAGGTCTTTTCTAGAAACCACTAGAAAATTGGAATGGGTTGTGGAGGCAGCGGAATATGGTGGGAAGTATCCACTTTGGGGAATTGGAATATTGAGGTTGAAGAACCAGTGTACTTAGTGACTATATGACATTGGGAAAATATTTTCATTTCTTGAACTCTGTTTCTTTAGCTATAACGTAGGATTTGTCATTTGTATAGCGATGTCATAAGATTGTTATAAGTATAAATGGAAGACTAGATAATGTCACGCCCAAGAGTGACAGGCAAATACAAATTTTATTGCTTATATAGGATTATTCCAATCTCCTTGAAGATTAACTGGCATGTTGTTATTTTCACAGTTTTTATGGAAACGAGCCCTCAAAGATCGCTTTAAATATGTTCGAAGACCCATAGAAGATGATGAACAAGTGATGAGAAACAAGTGTAAATTTGGACATCGAAGAGGCCAGACCAGGAGATCTCTTGCTGATACAAGATTTGATAAAATTAAACTTGTCCAGATAAAAGTAAGATTGACTTTTTAAATGCTCTGATGACTTGATTGATTGATTATAGGATAATTAATAATAACATTTAATATTATTAAAACAAGATGTGAGAGCTTTTTAAAATTTAATGTGTAGTGAAGAACCAAGATTTGTTTTGCATGGCTAATAAAGTGAATGACATTTCCAAAAAAAGCCTTCTGAAAACAGTTATTAAACAAATCCTCAGCCGGGCTCGGTGGCTCAGGTTATAATCCCAGCACTTTGGGAGGCCAAGGCAAGTGGATTGCCTGAGCCCTCGGGTTCGAGACCCACCAGGGCAACTTGGCGAGACCTCGTCTCTACAATATATCAAAAATTAGCCGGGTGTGGTAGCGCGCACCTGTAGTTCTGGCTCCTCAGAAGGCTGAGGCGGAAGGATCGCCGGAGCCCAGCAGGTCGAGGTTGCGGTGGCCGGGAGCGGCCACTGCACTCCAGTCTGGGCGACAGAGTGAGACTCCGACTCAAAAAAATAAAAGGCAAACTATTTGGTTACCTCAATTTTATTAGTGCTAGCTGTTTTTAACATATTTTGTAAATCACTTATCCCCAGCATAATGCAACATTTTGGATGAAAAGAATTTTTACATATCTTATAACTGTCAGTGAGATTTTTCAGGTGACAGATAGTTCATTTAAAATAATAATCCTTTATCTGTTCTTTGACTAAAAGACAAGGCAGCTGAAAAGTTCCCTAAATTTGGTGGTATAATGCTTTAGAAACTTTGACTACAAAATTCCAACTGTGCCCAGGTGCAGTGGCTCATGCCTGTAATCCCAGTACTTAGGGAGTCTGAGACAGGGGGATCACTTGAGCCCAGGAATTTGAGACCAGCCTGGGCAACACATTGAGACCCTGTCTCTATAAAATATTTAAAAATTACCCAGGCTTTTGCTGGTGATGAGTGCCTGTGTTCCCAGTTACTTCGGAGGCTGAGGTGGGAGGGTCGCTTGAGCCTAGAGTTTGAGGCTGCAATAAGCCAAGATCACACCACTGTTAGCCTGGGTGACAAAGCAAGCCTTCGTCTCTAAAAAAAAAAAAAATGAAATAAATAAAAATTAATACAAAACTCCAGTTATAAACTAGGAACATACAATAGAATGATAATTTATTTTACAATGTCTCTTATACTCTTAAGTCACTTTTAAAATAACCTAATTATGTATAAATTGATTTTCTCAGAAGTTTGATTTTTAGTGCATTCAAAATGCAGTTCCTTTATAAATGAATTACAGTTTTACAAATTCAGTTTTCCCACTTTTTCTGTAATGAATGCTCCCCCAAATGCATTGGGGTTGGGCATGGTGGCATGCGTCTGTAGTCCCAGCTATTCAGGAGGTTGAGGTGGGAGGACTGCCTGAGCCTAGGCAATGGAGGCTGCAGTGAGCTGGGATCATGACACTACACTTCAGTGTGGATGACTGAAACCCTGTCTCGAAAAATTAAAAATAAGAATTCATTGTATTTGATGATGGTAAAAACCAGACACTTAGCACTTGTCCCCAGAACTGGAACTCAAGGGTCAGTCCATAAGATCAGAAGTCACCTTGAGGGCAACAAGGTTAAGTAGAAGCTTCTCTTTTGTTGATACTTCATCTGTGAACCAGCTTGTACACTCACACTCTCCGTTCCTTCTTCATGACTCTCCCATCTAGTTCCCCAGACATACCTAAATCCTAGGATGAATCTTGTTACAAAATAAACAGGGAATTCAGTGTCCCAGGGTCAGGAGTCAAATTGCAAAAGGATTTCGTTTTTGACCTTCCTGCCAGGTAGGGCTAAAAATGAGATTATACAGTAGTCATTGTTGTCATCTGAAGAGACAACGTTTTTCCCGGCAACTGTCTAATTGGTAAGGATCTACTTTTTCCCCTTTTACAGCTAGAGCTGCAAATTGCTGATTTTTCAAAAAATTACAGCCTCCTTGTTTATGATCTTGTGTTCTGTAAAGCCAAAAGCTTTCTAGGATGGGAAAAACTTTACAGTGGAATATTACAGAAACACTGTGTTTCTGTATGTTGTCCCTTCCGTGGTGATTAAGTGACTGTAAAAATACGAATTAATTAGGGGGAGTGCCCATGCATTGAATTTACCTCGGAGAATTTGATCCTTCAGACTGATTGCCTAAGTTATTTCCAGTCTCCATTGTGAACTCCTTCTGATGGTTCCTTTTTGAAGTCTTTAAGATTTTGGAAAATTAAAGATGTTTGGATTAAGATGCACTTAGGAAACTCTCACATCTTTTAAAATTTCTTAACTGGGCACGATATTTTCGTAATATAGAGACAAGTTGCTTCATGTGCTGCAGAGATGGAGAATGTTGACACAGGCACGAAGTCGGAATCCCACCATGTACCAAAAGTGGGGCGGGTGAGAGGGCATCTGGCCAAACTTGAGGAAGATCTTGGGAAGGGACACAGAGGGGAAATCTTTGTTTTGTTTTGTCTCTGTGGTTGTTTTTCCTGTGGTGGTCTAATGGAATTTGCCAAAGAATTGAAGGTAGATATCTCAGCGAAGGAGGGTGGATATTTTTTTCTTTTTTTGTGTTGGAGTCTCACTCTGTCGCCCAGGCTGGAGGGCATTGGCACGCTCCCGGCCACTGCAGCCTCAACCTGCTGGGCTCTGGCGATCCTCCCGCCTCAGCCCTCCAAGTAGCTGAAACTACAGGCGTGTGCTACCATGCCCGGCTCATTTTTTATTTTTTGTCATAGAGACAAGGTCTCTATGTCATAGAGAAAAGTTTGTCATAGAGACAAAGTCTCTTTTGTCATAGAGGCAAGTTGCCCAGGCTGGTCTCGAACCCGCGGGCCCAAGCAATCCACTCGCCTCGGCCTCCCAAAGTGCTAGGATGACAGACTGAGCCACCTGTATTCTAGCCTGGCCAGGAGGGTGGATTCTTGGTCCCGTGACGTGGGCTTCCACAGACAACCTAGGCAGCTGCAGAACCTGTGCAGGCCTGAGCAGAGGCCACAGAGCTTCTGTCCTTAACCCTCCGCCCACCACGGTCTCCCAAGTCAGTTTAATTCTGCTAAAATGATGTTCTCTCTGGCTGCAAAACCCGAAGCACCAACAGTGCCAGAGCACCACTTAAGAGTCAGTATTCCCGCCGGGCTCGGTGGCTCAGCCTGTAATCCCGCGCCTTTGGGAGGCTGAGGTGAGTGAACTGCCGGGTTCGAGACCCGCCTGGGCAACTTGGCGAGACCTCATCTCTACAATAAATCAAAATGAGCCGGGCGTGGTAGCGCGCGCCTGTAGTTCCAGCTACTCGGAAGGCTGAGGCGGATGGATCGCCGGAGCCCAGCAGGTCGAGGCTGCGGTGGCCGGGAGCGGCCACTGCACTCCAGTCTGGGCAACATAGTGAGACTCCAACTCAAAAAAAAAAAAAAAAAAGAGTCAGTATTCCTGAAACCCTGATGTTCCACAACAAAAGAGACTTATCACCGTGTTATGGATGGCTTCACTTATCAGAATCCCAGACTGTGTTCTCTGACCAGACTTGCAAAGTCCTAGGTGTACTGCAATGTGAAAAACTCCTTCCCGATCTCAAGACCTCATGTTACTGCAGTCTTACAGTCATACAGTCAAGGCAGCAGCTGTGCAAAAGCTTCTTATACATCAGACTTTTTAGTTTAGGTTTTAGTTTTTTAGGTTTTTTTTTTTAGTTGGAGTGTCACGCTGTTGCCCAGGCTGGAGTGCAGTGGCATACCCACGGCTGCCACAGCCTTGACCTGCTGGGCTCCGGTGATCCTTCTGCCTCAGCTTTCAAGTAGTTGGAACTACAGATGCGTGCCACCACACCTGGCTAATTTTGTGATTTATTGTAGAGACAAGATCTCACCGAATTGCCCAGGTTGGTCTCAAACCCCTGGACTTAGGCAGTCTTCTCGCCTTGGCCTCCCAAAGTGCTGAGATTACAGGCTTGAGCCACCACGCCTGGCCAACTTTTAGTTTTTTGTTATTGCTATTGTTTTGAATCAGGGTCTCACTCTGTCACCCAGGCTGGAGTGCATTAGCACAATCAGGGCCACCTCCTTGGTTCGGGTGATCCTACTGCCTCAGCCTCCCAGGTAGCTGGGACTATAGGTATTTACCACTATGCCCGGCTAATTTTTTTTTGTAGAGACGTGGTCTTGCTATGTTGCCTAGGTCGATCTGGAACTCCTGGACTCAAGCAATCCTCCTGCCTCAGCCTCCCAAAGTGCTGGGGTTATAGGTATGAGCCAACACATCCTGCCCTGACTTTTAGTTTTGGGTACAAATAATTTGCAGCTACACGACTGATAAATCTGTTTTCTTAATTATCTTTTACTACACTTTGTCAGGTATTTATAAGCAGATATAATTAGGTTCTCAAAACATTAGACTTAACTGAGTAATTTAGTAAGTTGCTGACATATCTTGAATAAATGATGAAAACACTGGTTTTAAAAGCTTACAGAGGCTGGGCATGATAGCTCACGCCTGTAATCTCAGTCCTTGAGGAGGCCAAGGCAGGAGGATCACTTGAGTCTTGGAATTCAAGACCAGCCTGGGTAACATAGCTTGACCCCATCTCTACAAAATTTTTTTTAAAATGAGCTGGGTGTGGTGGTGTTCACCTATAGCCCCAACTACTTGAAACCCAGCTCAAGACTGCAGTAAGCTGTGATTTCAGCTCACTGTCTCCAGCCTGGGCCACAGAGAGACACCCCGCCTCCAAAAAATATATAAAAAGCTTAAAGGAATTATATGGGATTGTATGCCAGTGTTCAGAATGATACTTTATATAGTAGCATTTTTTGTAATAATCTTCAGGTATTCATTAAAGTTGAGTGATTCAAACTCCTCACTTCATGGCACATAGAATTGTTGCCGTTGTCCTGTGCTGGATCTTTCTCTGGTTTTATTATTCCTTTTCATGTTTTTCCTATCTACCTTTCTCTCACCTCTTAAAGTGTTTCATGTGGATCTTTTTGCGTGTCCATGTTCTAGAATGTGCTCT